CACTCCAACAGAGTACATTATTCACTACCTACATCACATAGTTCACTCTAATAAAATACTTCTATTCTTTCTCTAATCTCACTTGGCTCTCACCCTGGCAGATAAGACCTTTCTACATAACCTGTGATGTATGTCAGTGGACTAACCCCATCTCCACTGTGTGACTCCTCTACCAAATACAAGTTCTAAAAGATTATATATATATATATGTATATATATACATATATATATATATATATATATTCAATTAAATTTTTAGATTTCTTTCCTCTTTGCTATGCAATTGGTATATTAAGACTTCAAAAGCTCAGAGCTTTAACATTGATTAACATTTTGATAAGCTATCAATCTAGCCCTTGTAAACTCCTGCTACTACCATCACAATCACAAGCTCAAATTTTTAAATTTCCTTTGGTTGTCTTCTAAAAATAGACTTAAAAATGCTTCTTATCATGCTGCAAACATCTCTGTCCAATCTATATACCCAGCCCTCTAGAAAATGTGTTAACTCTCTTAAGCCAAAATAATTTTGGGGTTCCCAAACTTTTACTATGACTCAAAAACGTAAGTCTACTAATTTCTCTACAATGTAGATTTTAGTACAGATTACAAACAATGGTAAAACTTTTATCTCATTTTATAAACTTAAAATACCCTTATAAGCTTCAAGAAATCTACTTGGATCCATGTGTCACAGGTCAAATGGACTCCAGACAAATACTCCTGTCAACCAACAGCCTAAGTTTCTTGATATGCTGATTCCTGAGAGTGAGATTCTCCCCATTTCCCTAGTCTTGGGATTCCCTTCCTCCAACTACTAAGGCTATGGGCCTAGATGTTTCAAATGTATACCCAAGATAAAAATTTTTCCTCTAAACTGCTTGTATTAGTCAGGATTCTCTAGAGTCACAGACATTATGGAATAAGTCTCTCTCTCTCTCTCTCTCTCTCTCTCTCTCTGTATATACATAATACATGTATGTATATGCATACATTCCATATCTATCTATCTATCTATCTATCTATCTATCTATCTATCTATCTATATATATGGAAATTTACCGGAATGAATCATAGGCTGTAGTCCAACCAATCCAACAATGATGAGTTATAAAAATAAGGAGAATATAGACTGGGTATCGTAGCTGGTCTTCTGTATATGCTGGAATCCCAAACAAGTAGGCTGCAATGCCAGTGAAGGAATGGATGTGCTATCAAGGTGATGTAAGCAGGCAAAGAACCAAACCTTCCTAGTTTCATGTCCTTATATAGTCTTCTAATAGAAGGTGTCTTCCCACTTCAAGATCTGTATTAAAGGTATGTGTCTTCTCACCTCAAGATACAGATCAGAGATGTGTCTTCCTACCTCTAAGGTCCAGACTAGAAGTGGGTTCACCCACTTCAAACCAAGCAGAATATCTCTCACAAGTATGCCCTCCATTTCTGGATTGTAGTTCATTCCAGATATAGTCAAGTTGACAAGGAAGAAGAGCCATTACCTCTTTTTTGTTTGTCTATCTGTCCTAGCAGGTTTCAAATCAACTATAAACTGTCCCAGCAACTAAACAGCCCCAAACGTTCCCTTGGAATCTGCATCCCAGACAGCTCCAAAGTGGCTAGCCCCAGATGGTCTAACCTCACAAGTTGCTCCAATGCTGCCTACACTTCCCTAACCCCAGATGGTCCTACCAAGCCTAGACAGTGAGTTATACAGCCCATTCTTCCCAAACTCTGCCAACATTCCAGCTTCCTTGGGTCCTTAATAAGGATGCCCCAATGTCAGCAAAAAGCAGGCAGAGTGAGTGCCAACCACCCCCCCAATTCTAGCTTCTTGACCTAAAACTTACTGAATTTTGTTCTCTTCTCTTGAGCCTTTTACTCTTCCTACCTCCCCTTTCTCTGGCCCCACCTTTAATCCCTTTAGACTAATAACTACCTTTTCCCTGATAATTGCTGGTGATCATCAAGAAGTAGCCAGAAGAATGATGCCCATTTACCTAACGCCTGACAAACCCAAAATAAAATAAAAAGTTGGGACTTAAGGGCTCTCCAACAGGCCCAAGCACTGCAAACATGACACTAGAGGTCTTGCCCTTCCCTCTTTCTCCCTTACTGGACCATTAGATTGTGTTCCTAAAGCTAGCTACCAGGGTCCACTCCCTTATTTGGCCACTTCCTTATGCCTAACTCATTCTTGAGGCTGATCACCAACGACCAGCTCTCAAAACACCAAGGTCCAACAATAAAATTCATACTTTGGCTACATTGACTATTGTCCAATCAGAAACTACAAACTCATCCTAACACAGACCTCCCCTATTTATTCTAAAACCACTTCTGCAGAAATACCTGCTGTTGTCTTTGTCTAATCCACAGGCACACTCCCACCCGCCTGCTTGTCCCCTCTGGGGCAATAAAATCTTTGTGCTGAGAATTTGGTGTCTGGATGTGTTCTGTGGCAACTCCAAGGCCCTTTCACTTAACACACATAAAAAATAGCAGAGTTGCGATACACTATGTTTGCAGGGTTTTGTGTGAATTTGGAAAGGTTTCTACTTCATTGGAAATTAAAGCATGTGTTTAAAAGCTACCTAGAGATGTAGTTACAAAAACTACAGAACAGTGGAAAATGTCTTGATATGGAAACATTTTTGTTATCCATGATTTTTTTCTAGGAATAATTTCATAAAAGGAGAAAACTGAAGTACATATTTTTAACTGAAATAAATACTTTTAAGATGGAGAATTTTTACATTTTTTTAAAAATTTATCTAAAAATTGGTTGAATTCATTTATCCACATGTGTTGGTACCCATACACATTCATTTTAAAGGCCTGGTAAGATATTAAGAAAGCTGTGTTTCACAATCAATCAAAATGCAGAGCTGTGGAGGGCAGCCCTACTAGATACATCTGCAGAACACTCCCATACTAAGGCTCAGGGAACAGTGTGAAGAAGCCTGTTTCTTTTCTAATGAGAACAGAAAGGGAGTGAATCGAGATGAAAGAGAGGTGGTTAGGAACTTGGAGGAATGGAAGGAGTGGAAACTATAATCTGGTTATATTATCTGAGGAAAAAAATCTTATTTTTCAATAAAAGGAAAAAAGAAAATTATTTAAGTTAGATGATGGAATGTCTAAGAACTATATATGTAGCTCAGTAGAAGAATATAATAAGAAACACATAAAAATAAACTAGTTCCAGCAAAAAAACAAAACAAAACTAAAAAATGATGATTTTAGACAAAAGTGAGGAAAATAGCGGACAGGGCTATAACTACATAACTTTATAGATAATGCCAATTTCATTACAAAGAAACACATAAAAAGATTTTCCCAATTAATCACATAAATCCAATTAATTACATGCCATTTCCCCCTATAAAACCAGTAAATTTTACACAATGGCTATGAATGTACAAATCAGACAAAAGGGTACAGAGTATCACTCTCACACACACTCACAAACAACATACAGAGAGAGAGAGAGAGAGAGAGAGAGAGAGAGAGAGAGAGAGAGAGAGAGACACAGAGAGAGACAGAGAGAGAGAGACAGAGAGAGAGAAAGATAAACTATTATTCACCTACTGGGAAAGAAATTTGTCACTAACTATAAAAAGCAAAATGATATATTCACCCACTTAGCAAACACTTTAAGATAGTGAGAAAACAAAGACTTATTAATTAATTCAATTTGAGAGAAGATGCTAGACAGCTGGCAAAATAAAATTTCTAATACAAAAGAAAAATCATATGGAAAGGATAGCTAGATTCACTTTACAGGATTGCTTATAAAATAGAGATATATCATATTTCACAGAAATTACTTTGCCTCCAAGCTAACATTTAAATTGTTTTGTTGAGACGTAAATTATCATCCAAGAGCTGCACATGCTCACAACTTGAAAGAAACGCACAAGTAAAGGCAACTTACTCACCTAGAGTGACTCACTCTAGTCTGATTGTTTTATCAAAGAATCCTGGGAGTTAAACAGCACCCCAGTGCTTCACTAGATGAGTGAAACTGCACAACAGATGATGTGCTGCCCAAAAGAACATGACAACTCTATGTGGCAAAAACTTTAAAATGCTCTATATTTGTGAATTAGTCTGTGAGAATAAAGAAAGGAAGTGCTTTTTTTTTTTTTTTTCACTGCTAATGTATTACGCCCTGCCCCCACCAGATACCTTTCAGGAAGAGAGTATGTGATTTTATTGCTCCACTGAGTATACTTTGAAAAACATTTCACACATCACAGTTCATTCCTTTTAAAATGTGTGAGGGAATGTTACATGTAAAAGCTCTTAAGTAGGAATATGTCAAGTGTGAGGCCTTAGAGAAAAAGAATAATCCAGGGTTACATGGAAGTAGAGTTTCACAAAAATAAATAATGGGTAGAATTATTACAGTAAAAGTTACTTTTGTACCTTTTTATAGAAATTATAATGTGTACTTTTCAGTGCCAAATTACAGTGTTCTCATGTTTTACTGTAATTATATATCATGCTATACACTGGTATGATATAATAATTTTATAATTTAGAATTAAAAAAGAATTTGAATAAGAAAAATATAAATAAATCCAAGCTCAGTGTCACAAGCCTGAAATCCCAAGTACTTGGGAAGCTAAGGCAGCTGAGTGCCAAGTTCAAGGGTTTCCTGGGTTACAGAGTGTGTTCAAGTCCAACAATTAATGAGACCATCTCAAGGTTTTTAAAAAGTGAAGAGAGCTGTTATGGCAGAATGTTTGTCTAGCATGAGGTAGGCCTTTGATTTTGTGCCCAGTAACCATAAGAAAGTGGCAACAATAAAACCCCCCAAAAAACCTTGAAGAATTCAAATTATCAAGATAAAAACATATGATGAGTCATCTCCTGCACGTTGTTTATGGCAAGAAGACACAGTGTATTTCTAAGAATCTATCCTTTTCCCAGCTATCATTTAATACAAGCAGTGGTCATAAGCTTCTGAGTATAAAAACATAGCAACACATTTTTACCTGATTTAGCTCCTTGGCTCTATCTGAAGTCTCAGTTACATAATCCGTGCTCCCTCTCTGCTGTAGATGAGCCTCTTTAAGCTGTTTTCGTTCTCTCATGATTTCCATCGCCCCTTAGAATTCACTTCTTTGGTCAGTGATGATGGCACTCAGCCTGTTTGTGCATCAGACCCAGTTGTCTTTCACCTGAGCACTCAGTATCTTTCCTTCCCTACCTCTGAGAATTCCCCCTGCTTTGCAGGTCAGCTGCACATGCATGTTTGCCCTAATTACTGGATCTTTTTATCTAAAAATATCTTACCATAATCTGTGTAGCACTTTGTGACCTGATGTAATAGTCCCTTGTTTCTTGTCAAAATTTTTAAAATTTAAAAATACTCAAATCATTATCTTAGAGTCTCTCACCCTTTACTCATTGTCATTCTAAACTGCACAGGCATCTTTTTCTCTAAGATCAAGGCTGTGATTTCACTAGTGTCTCCATGGAGACACTGCTGGGAAAGGGAGAGATTGTTATCTCTAACAGTGTAGCCCCTGAGAAGTCAACCACACTCCAGTGCAAGATCACACATCCAAGAATATTCAGGAAGCACAAATTCATCTTGAAGGCTATAAAAAGCAAAAGACAGAAAGTTGGACAAGTGGGAGATGGGGGTGGATCTGGGAAGAGTTGGGGGAGGGGAGTGAATGTGATCAAAACATGTGTGAAACTCTCAGAGAACTAAAAAGAGAAAAAACTCAAGATCACCGAAATGAGCTTGTCCTGACACCGACAGGAGTTCTGTTTTACTTTTTTAGTGTCACCCGTGACTCTTTCATACACGTGGTGTGTTTTATTGCACATTCTTCATTCTTGTCAAATTCCTCACAGTTCCATATCCTCCTTGCACTCAAAAGAGAACATTACAAAGAAGAGTCAACAGACTGTCAGTCTGAAAATCTCTTAGCTCTTTCCCTGAGGGAGGCTCCCTAACTCAACTTTTGCCTCAGAGAATTGGGTTCTTCTTATACTCTGATGAAACCCAGTTTCACTGCTGTTTGGATCCATCCCCTCCAGCCGTGGAAGAATGCTACCGTTATCTTTCCCCTTTTCTTTGCAGTGTTCAGTGTACCTTAGTGAGATATTCCCATCATCCTAGAAACACAAGCAAAGCTTAGGAATACAGCTAGTATCAACAACTGCCTAATGTGTGTGGAACTAGATAGTTCGCCTGCACTAAAGAAAAATCATATTAAAAAAAAAACTCTTCAAGGTCATCTTAGCTCAAATACTAAGTGTGATCGTACTTTATTTAAAGATGAACACATAAAACTGCCTGCCTCTTCTCTTCTCTGCTTCATCACCTGCGTTGTGATGCAGGCCTGCTGACCCTTGCCGGATGTGATGGTGGCAGTTTTCAGCCATCACAGTGGTGAATGAAACAAGCTTACTTCTTGAAACACTGTCTAGCGTCAGATATTTTGCTATAATAACCCAGAATAGAGTGCAACACATTAGCAAATAATGGTGGAGCAAAGAAAGCTCATGAAGGAAGAACTGTATGGAAACTTCTACTGTTCAGTGAATTTGTGAGGGTTTGTTTGGTGTAGCTGAAGAATTAGAAGATCCATTTGTCGAAAGTATTATGCTGTAACCTCAAATTTCTACTGTGATCATTAATACTCTCTTAAATGTTTTTCAATATGTTTACCCAATTTTATTAATTTAAAAGGAAACATCCAAAAGGAAGTACTTCATTTGAAATGAATAAACCAGTATAAATTTTTGGGATGATATTCAGGAACCTGTCTTTAAAGTGACTCCAGCTTTCCACATCCAAGAGGAGAGCATACTGCATTGTCCAGGGATTCTCTTATGTACAGCCCAATAGGTCACTACTTATTTGGTGCTAAGTATTATTCCATCCTACAGGCATGACACCAGTTGTTTACCCGTTCATCTGCCTGTGGTGGTGAGGTTATTTTCAGTTTGGACTATTACAAAGAAAACAATTGTAAATACAATGCATCATAGACACCTACGTTCTTTGGAAGAGTGAACATCTAAGCCAGGACAAAGAATCCCACAGGAGATGTGTCTGATGTTTTCAGAAGCCAACACACTTTCCTAAATACCTGCCATTCATATTTCTGCAGAAGTATCCAAAACCTAACACTTCCCCCAATTGCCTATCATTTTCAAGACTGAGTTTCCAAATTTTAGACATTCGGTGTGATGCCAACTCATTATGATTTTATTCTGCATTTTTGTTTTAAAATTTATTTTATCATGTGCACACACAGGCACATGTGCATATATATGCTGCAATGTAGCAGTGCACATGTGGTGGTCAGAGGGCATTTGGAGTCGCTTCTTTCCTCCATCTGTAAGTGGGTTCTGGGGACTGAACCTAGGCCATCAGGCTTGCATGGTGAATGCTTTTATCCACTGAGTCATGTCACTGGTTCCTAGCATATATTTTTCTAATTTATAATGATGGTGCTTCTTGAGCACTCATAAATATTTTGGAGAGTTTCAGTTCAAGTCTTCAACAATTTTTAAATGCAATAGATTTCTTCTTACTAAATTTGCTCTTGGTGGTTTGGGATAGAAATCTTTCCTCTCTGCAATAACTTTAATTCAGTAGCTTTTATCTCTTTCTCTTGACAGCTTCTTATGTCTATGAACTAATGCCTGTCTTTAATTTAATTTAGAAAACAGTCATAATGATACCAAATATCCCTTTGGTCTCCCCTCTTTTGTAATTATCACAACTCTAGAACACTCCACTAGCATTTTTCTCATTCTTTTATGTCCAGACTAAGTATGAGGAAGATATCAGTTATAGCTAGTTTTTTTCTTTGTTTTTGTTTGTTTGTTTATTTTTGGTTTTTGGTTTTCAGTTTTTGAGAATAGGGTTTCTCTGTGTAGCTCTGGCTGTCATGGAACTCACTCTGTAGACCAGGCTGGCCTCAAACTCACAGAGATCTGCCTGCTTCTGCCTCTGGAGTTCTGGGATTAAAGGCAAGCACCACCACCACTACCACCTTCAGAATCTTAGTCTCCCTTGAATGACACAATACCATAGTCTGGGTAATTTATTTTTAAAACTTTTTAATTTTCAAAATTGTGAATGTTGGAACACTGAGAGCATGATTCCAGACTCTGGTTGGCTACAGGAAAGGGTATGGAATTGGACACAGAAGTCTCCAGTAAAGACCATCAATTTCATTCCCAGATTCTAAACTTTCTGAAATATCTCCCAAAGGCCTTTCATCCAATTGCCCTGAAAGCTAGGATCTTAACATGATTTTAAAGGTCATGCAAATATTCATTTCTACTGCAATAGTGGCATGTGCTTCTAAGCTCCTGCTCCATTAGGATGGTACCACATTGCTGCTTTTGGTTTTAGTTAGATCTATGAATCAGTTTCTCTGCAGATCAAAGGGGAGTTTTATTATTATTATTATTATTATTATTATTATTATTATTATTAAAAATAGATACTTTCCTCATACAATACATCCCAACCACAGGTTCCTCTCCTTCTAATCCCCCTAGTTCCCAGCACCTTTGTCTCTCCTCCAGATCCATTCCTCCTCCACTTCTTCTTCAGAAAAGAGAAGGCCTCTAAGAGATGACAGCCAGACAGGACAAAATAAGATATGAACAGACAAAGTGAAAGCAGTCGTATCAAAGCTGGACAAGGCAACCCAATAGGAGCAAAAGAGTTACAAAAGCAGGCAAAACAATCAGAGATACATCCAGCCCCACTGTTAGGAGTCTCAAAAAACACCAAACTAACAGTGATAACACACATGCAGAGGACCTGGTGCAGATCCATGCAGGCCCCATAATTTCAGCTTCAGTTTCTAGAGTTATTGATTCCCATTGAAATCCAATGAATTTCTCTTTCAGCTTTCTCTACTTTGAAGTAGGTAGTGGCAGCTCCTAAGTACCTTACATTTGGGGCCAGAAATCAGAAATCTGAATGTATTTTTCCAAATTTACTTCCATTTTCACCGTAGCTCCCAGGTCTTTCTGTCTGCATTGTTTCCAACATAAAAGTCAATAATTACCTGAATCATTGTATGAGTTGAAGAGCTCTCTAATTAGGTCCAAGCATGGCAAGAATGGCATCAACAGGTTTTACCCTTTACCGTTTTCTCTCCCTTCTTAACCATGAGATTACATTCCTAATGCTAGCTCCCAAGGTCTATTTCCTTGTTTGGCCACTGACATATTCCTGAGACAAAACACAAAGGTCCAACAATCCAAATTCTTTATTTGGTTAACATGTCCAATTAGGACTTATCAACTCACTCTACTACTTCATCATAACTGTTTCCAAATGCCTGACAGAAACTAATTTAGGGAAGAAAAGTATTGTTTTGATTTATAATTTCTGAGGGATTTCAGTCCACCAGTGAGGAAGACATGATGTTGAGAGCAGCTCCCCCAAGGTGGTGGGAACATGTGGTGCTTGATTATTTATGTGATGGCAGAGTAAGCAAAGAAAAATGGACCAGGAACAGAAAGGCATTCATCTAGTGACCACCTTCCCCTGCCTGGAGCCACCTTCTTAAAATTCCACAGCCTTCAAAGTAGCACCAGAAGCTGAGATCTAAGCATCCAGCAACAAGTGTATGAAGACATTTGAGATCTGAATTATAGCAAAGCTAGACTCAGAGATCATTAATCTTATTTGCCTTGATTGATACTTGTTATTTTTTCCCTCCTACCTAATCTCACTGACTTCAATAGCACCTGCACAAAGTTCCAGAATGATCTCAGAAGCTCTTCACATCATATCAGAGCTCCAAGTTGTATTCACTTAAGAGTCCTGTTTACTAGGGGCACTAAGCCCCGAAAACAGCTTTAGCACTGTGTAGCTTAAGTTTTCCTGCCTGGCCCACAGTCAGGGTAAATCTCTCTCACCTGCTAGTCCCACAGCCACTCAGACCCGACCAAGTAAACACAGAGACTTATATTGGTTACAAACTGTATGGCCGTGGCAGGCTTCTTGCTAACTGTTCTTACAGCTTAAATTAATCCATTTCTATTAATCTATACCTTGCCACATGGCTTGTGGCTTACCGGCATCTTCTCATGCTATTTGTCATCATGGCGGCTGGCAGTGTCTCTCTGACTCAGCCTTCCACTTCCCAGCTTTATTCTCCTCCTTGTCCTGCCTACACTTCCTGCCTAGCCAATGGCCAATCAGTGTTTTATTTATTGACTAATTAGCAACACATTTGCCATACAGAACATCCCACAGCAGCACTGGGTCTCAGCTCTGTCCTGACACGAAGTGTGACCTATTTTTC